TTATACCCAGTTTTCACTAGTAGGAGTTGTAGGGCAGAAACCTATTTCACTTACTCACCCTCACTGTGCTTACCCAGCTACTTCAGCGCTGTTTTGGCACTTATGCACAGTTTTGGATCCGATTTCAAGTGTAGTGCGAAGGTACAAGTGCTCACACTGAGCATACTCATTAGGCTGTACTCTGGCTGGTGTACGTGTACCTCAGCAAAAAAAAAAATCACCAGATTTCAGCTGAGAAAAACTTGTGACCACTATTAGATGCTAGGGGATGCTAGAAGAGGGGGCACCTCTTATATTTTAGATTTGTGGTGCCCAACCTTATGGCACGGAGTGCCTGAGTGGCACAGAGATGGTCTGCAGGGATGCAGAGTGACTCTATGCACTGGGGGAAGGCCTGCAAGGTTCCCCCTGGATCCAGAAATTTGACAGCAGGGGAGTGACAATTAACACTGCCATTGACACCAAATTTCTGGACCCAGGGAGAGCCTTGCTGGCCAGATGATACAGCTCTGTGGCCCCAAGGTCAAGCACCACTATTTTAGACCAAGAGCCTTGTGCACTTATCCAAGAAGCAGAAAACTGAGATTCTGGGTCCCCTTTGCCCAGGGGCTTTGAACCTACATCTCCTCTCCTTTCTAGAACAGTGTTCCAACTCCAGCAGTCTTCCTGAAGTTGGCCCCCCGAGGCAGCCAAGAGAAGGAGATACAAGGGGCCAGAAGAAAAAGAACAAGCTAGATGGTCTGTGATTCAGTGAGATGGCTGCTACTTTGAAAGGGTAGGGCAACTCAGGTTTTAGCCTGAACCTTTACCACCCTTTCCTCCATACTGTCCATGTAATGGGACAGAAACTTCTCCACTGCTCTCTACCCGTTTTATCTAATAATTATTGAATGCAAGATTTTTGGCTTAACTTCAAGAGGAGGGCTATAAAGGGGACTGGATAATGTCTAAGCTGTGGTCTGATGGTTGGAGCACTGTGTTCAGAAGCAGAAGACAAGAGACCAACAGGAGGCCATCCTGGCTACATAACAATTCCTTTATAAAGACCTAAAAGGATGCTAATATAATAAAGGGCTTAGTCCGTCTGCCTGTCTGTCCGTAATGCTCTTGGAGCACTCTGACTGATTACTGAAACAACCAATCAGAGTGCTCCAAGAGTGTTTCAGACAGGATGTGGTGGTGGCAGCACAGCATCATGACGACAGGGATGGAGCAGGGAAGGGTTGGGGGAGGGGGCAAGGCCAGCAACACTGGCCTTGCCCCCCTCCCATGCTCCCTGGAGGTGGCGGCGACAGAGCGGACAGAGCAATGTGCTGGCTGGGGGACCGGCGGGGTGGCTAGTTTCTATAAAAAGTGGACACTTGATCATAGTACTAGGGAATAGTATAAGAGTATCACACAGGCATGCACACAGAAAATTAGGAAGGCCAAGGCACAATTTGAAATGGAGCTGGCAAGGGATATAAAAGGCAATAAAAGGGTTTTTATAAGTATGTCAAAAGTAAGTAGAAGACAGAGAATCCATAGGCCC